ACCTAAATATTACCTTACAATGAGTTTTTGATAAAGACATAATTTGTAGTAAGGAAAACTTTCACTTATCTAGTAAGGACGAGCCCTGTGGTGTATGTGAAGTTATAGTGTGATGTACGGTACTGGGAGATGTACTGCTGGGGCAAACTTCATTACACCAGAATATCCACTGTACCACAGAATGACTAACCTGGTAAAGTGATGTTCTACTGTATTAATGAGCATTAAATTCTTACTCAAACAAGCATGGGAACTTCTTAATTCTTATGGGGGGACTTACAAATAATGAGAAGATTAGTACTACATGAGGTTAACTTTACTTGTAGGCCAGCGTAGGATTGTCTTATAGCTCCACAAGTTGAATATCAAATATGAAGAACTTATAAGCATCAAATAATTGTCTGGGAAAGATTATTCTGTCACAAGGCAGATAGAAACAGCAGACAGCGATCACCAAGGTAAGACAGATGTTATTAAAGGTGGGTATGTTCCAACTATACCACACTTTAATCTAATTATACAAGTGAAAATTACTAAATTATTATGACATCTTGTTGTGACATCCTCATATGTCTAGTGTGATTAACATCCATTGGTGTTAGTGTGGTCACAACTCCCAGATGAACAAACAAGTGTTATCCTTCGTCCCCTTCCTGAGAAACACCAGGAAGACAAAAAAATATAACAATGAGCAAGATAACAATGGCTACTCAAGTCAGAGGAAGAAAATAGGAATATATGAATCGAGATAATATATAAAAGCGAGCATAAAAAATACATACTGGTTTACAGGAACACAGAGACTAACAGTTTTATGGTGCCACACTGCCAGGGGAGGGGAGGGGGAATGGGCCATAGCTCCTCAATAGATAAAAGGAAGATACTTGTCTGGGATATTATTGGGATACATTTTATACCAAGTTTCATCACAATCCATCTCTTGTTTCCTCTGATTATTGCATTCAAGACACCCAGACACACACCACAAGGATTCATAGTATCAACATTATCCTCTCAGAGATAACAGGGCACAAATAAATATTGACCATCTCATGCAAAGTGAGTTACCATCTCTTTTAATTTGTCTTGGAAGTATTAAGGTTAGAGTTACTAAATGTAAATCTTCAGGTGGTGGTGATATCCCTGTTGGGGTCTACAACACATGAGGTACAGACGCTACAAGACACACAAGAATGGGCCGTCTGGGTCTTTTCGTCTTCTGTAATAATCAAACTTAAGTTACGTCATATTTCTTGCCTGAGGACGCGATCCCAATTGTACAGAAGGTGCCGTTTTGTCTGTTACCTCTTCATATGTGTGTGTGTGTGTGTGTGTGTGTGTGTGTGTGTGTGTGTGTGTGTGTCTCAGGGTGAATATATGAACATCTTAATGCATCAATATATGAGTATCTTATATGTGAATATATATGTATCTAGTATGTGTTTAAGAGGAGTACAGTGTATTGTTTGTCTCGTGTTATTATTGTCGCTCCTCTAATATACCGATGGAGGGGGACGAGGAAAGGGTTATTATGGTGAACAGCAAACGACACGATCTAATGTAAACTGCAGCATCAACACCACTTTCTAGAACGCGACTCACTTAAATGTCTCTCAATCTTTATCCAACAGTACGAAAAAGCTGCTTATCTGTAATGGCTCTGGTGTGTAATTTATATCATTTTTATCTGATACAATTAAAGAGATTTCCAAAGTTTTATAAAGTTTGGCATTGCAATATAAAGTGGAGAGAGTGTCTGTGTGTGTCAACAGCTGACTCAAGAGGCTAACGATAGGAGGGAACTCACACATGGACCAGCCTTGTGCTTCTTACAGATAAACAAACACACAGACACACATATATACACACACACACTTACCATACACTGGTAGACCAATATCAAAGAGGTCAGGCAACCACACAGCTAATATTTATACACAAGAATTTTATAACATCAGAGACTCTAAAATAACAGCAAAAGCCTAGAAGAGACAAATAGTAATTAATATATATATACTATATATATATATATATACTATATATATATATATATATATATATATATATATATATATATATATATATATATATATATATATATATATATATATATATATATATATATATATATATATATATATATATATATATATATATATATATATATATATATATATATATACTGTTCTAAATAAGGCAACATAACACTAGGTGGGTGCTGGGGGATAAGGGGAGGTGCTGGGGGATAAGGGAAGGTGCTGGGGGACAAGGGGAGGTGCTGGGGGACAAGGGAGGTGCTGAGTAACTGTGAGAGAAATCAGTATCTCAGTGGTTTCATTTTGGTCTTATACTAAACACAACTTTAATGTCTTGTTGGGCTACACAGTGCTGCAGTAATATGAGGAGTGTTTGAACCCTGAGCCCATCAAACACTCTCCTTGTAAAACTAAAGAAGGCGAACACAATAACATAACGTGCAATATATTCTTGTAAAAGTTGTGCTCTTCTCTGTAAAGCCAAAAAATTGTCATCTCTTACATACAGGCCTTTCACACAAGTTCCCTCCCACCTTGCAAATGACAGGAAGCACTAAGAATGGGAAAACCTTATATATTTAAAAAATATAATAAGATATATGTATCTGTGTATATGAACCAATATCATTTATAAAAATTCTTATTAGACCTCTTATATATATTAAAAAAAATTAAGACTCAAATAGCCTCTGGTACTTATCATAAGGTGCTACTTTGAACACTGATTAACCTTGCTTATTGATGAAGGTGTTGAGTAAGGGGTATTGTGCTGACCAATAACCAAAATAATCTCATTGTGTTTCCAGATTGAGGATCTTCAGGGTGACTTGAGGAAGCTATACCTTTGAATAACGATCAACACTTCTTTGCTCTCTATCACAAAATGGAACACAACTCTGGTCTGTAGGCAGTTTTATCCTAACTCAACACCTGCATGTCTCACCAGGTTGGGCATCTAGTTTAACAACACCAAAGCTACGCCCATCGTCCTAACAGACTACTTGCGACTATTTATTTAAAGCCTATGGTCTGTCTTCCAGTAAGGTTCAGCTTTCAAATAACACACAAATTGAGCCTTACCATTCGATAATCTTTAAGACTAATTTGGTTTGTAGGAGCAGTCGCGAACACTCGCGTTGCCGCCGTTAGATTAATGAACAAGGGCAAAATATTGTCGAGCGAGAGAAACAAATGGTCATTACAGTATAAGAAGGGCACATATATATTATACCAGGTGTCTCATTGTAATAAATTATATCTGGCAAGGAGTCAACAGTTGTTCTTTACATTGTTGACCGTTGTGAAAATATCACCACTCGTGCTCGTTAACTTAACACGTGCGTGGTAATCTTTCCATTCAGGTACACGAGACACACCGTTAAACATACAAATCTCTCTTAACAATCTGGGTAGACTTCCCACAGAGCGTCACCCATATCTACTACGCTAAAGCTCTGTTATCATTTGTGGCTGAGGGAAAGCTGCTTGAGTTCTGCTGACCAGCCAACAGCTATCTGGTGCTGTCACCAAATCTTCCTACATTTGTATTACTTTCTACCTCTGCTTCATGTAAAAATAGTTGAGATATTTTAACATCTTATATAAGAGATTTTATCTTTTAAACTTTTCCCAAGTGTTATGCTACTGGTTGTTGATCAGCTATGAACTCCACAGTTAATGTAAAATTAATTATTTAAAGAATACCAAGGGAGAGTTAATAGTAACAATGACAAGAGTATGAATGTTCTACTGTACGCTGAGCATTACATAATATCCTGCACCACGGCAGATAATATCTTCTGTGGCAAAATAACTTACCACTAGACTAGCTGCACAGAACTTATGACACCAACTATTGAAAACCTCGTCAACTCTGGATCCTCAACTCTCTCCAGCAGTGGGGAAGAGACCGACTTTCATTTGAAGACTTTGGCTGTCCGAGACTACCCACGACAAAAATGTAACTGTGGTAGTATAGTGCCATATACACCACTAAACTAGTACAGTCAGTCCCCAGTACCAAGATAAGGAGGGATATAAGTCAACAAATGGATACACCAGTTGATTACCATAACATGATGGATCAAGGCCACAAGGGTGACACAGGCCAGGGGTTGTGATCACAGGCCCAAATGGTTGTTACTTTACTATCATAGGGTTGTTATAACTTGTCCAGGATTGAGATCACCAGTTCATGGTCAACATCACCAGCCTAGGATCATGATCACTGAGGCAGAGTTGTGACCAGTTGTCCAGGAACCGAGTCACAACCACCAAGCCAGGGTTGTGATCACCAGCCCAGGACCACTAACACCAGGCCAGGGTTGTGACACAGGCCAGATCAGGCCAGGACCACAAACACCAGGCCAGGGTTGTGATCACCAGCCCAGGACCACTAACACCAGGCCAGGGTTGTGATCATCAGGCCAGGACCACTAACACCAGGCCAGGGTTGTGATCACCAGCCCAGGACCACTAACACCAGGCCAGGGTTGTGATCACCAGCCCAGGACCACAAACACCAGGCCAGGGTTGTGATCATCAGGCCAGGACCACAACACCAGGCCAGGGTTGTGATCATCACCAGCCCAGGACCACTAACACCAGGCCAGGGTTGTGATCATCAGGCCAGGACCACTAACACCAGGCCAGGGTTGTGATCACCAGCCCAGGACCACTAACACTAGGCCAGGGTTGTGATCACCAGCCCAGGACCACTAACACCAGGCCAGGGTTGTAATCACCAGCCCAGGACCACTAACACCAGGCCAGGGTTGTGATCACCAGCCCAGGACCACTAACACTAGGCCAGGGTTGTGATCACCAGCCCAGGACCACTAACACCAGGCCAGGGTTGTGATCACCAGCCCAGGACCACAAACACCAAGCCAGGGTTGTGATCGACACTTGCTGGGAATGAAAAATTGTCTTCAGTTTAATACCGTATATAATAATAAATGCGAGTGACATTTAAACGAAAAATCCAAATTTATTGTTGTTTACAGAGGAGAAAATTTTCATAAGAGAGAGTTAAGCAGACAAGCGAGGGCTGCAGACTTAGAGAGTATGTATGTGACTATACCACCAAGTATGAACCACACACACACATACACACACTCGAGTCTGTTTTAGCTCGGAGGATTAAGTACAAAAACTCGAATATCTCTTAGTGGCTTAGAATAAATAAAAAATTTCCACAAGTTACTGCTTCCAACTCAATAAAACTATTTATACTCAGAAGACAATAGAAAATACTTAAATAAAAAATTATATCGGATTTGGTGGTCGTGGGAAGTAGCCATCAGTGAAGTAAGAATATCCATACTAATAAAAACAACTGAAAGCAGAAGACATCCGCACATGTCCGGATACTGCGAGTCATACCCTCGAGGATACCGCCCAGCCCCTTCGTACACTGTCACCACCACGAAGGGAATTTTGAACCCAATCACTACCGAGCTAGTCTACGCGTCGGACGTTACTAGCTCGCGTCCTCCGCTGGATTGTTATTTTCCCTATCGGCTATGTCTTCTTCCTTCGTCTCGTCTTCCTCTTCGTCCTCCTCGTCAGCCTTACACAGAGGTTGATTCTGAGACACTGTAATAATGGCGTTAGCGGCCTCTTCTTGTTCCTTCCAGTACTGGTAGTTCCATCTCAGGTGTTCTATCAGCTCAGGAATATCTGCCAGAGCTGTAAAACAAAACATTCAATTTACACCTGAATTGTCAGAGGAATACGCACTAGAAACATTCCGTTGATATTCAAGAGACCGATCATACAATTAAAATTTAAAGACGTCAAATTGATTACCGAGACATTGTGTATTTATCTTTATTATGACTAAATGGAAAGAAGACAACAATAACAGCCACTTTACATGAACACAGACGTCTCAAGGGAAGAAAACTTTTGTAAGAACAGTTACTTTACTTCAGAAGTCTGTGAGTAAATAATGTTTAAAAAAGTTTCTAACCGAACTGCTTAACTTAGCTAATCAGAAGAGAAGCGGTGTTTCCAACGTGGTATGGCCATCATTCTTCTCAACTTTTTCTTCTTCTTTCAAGTGAGGGAATCAAAACCAAAATATGGACAACATGAGGGCATACTGTAAAGGTGTTAATAGATCATATTAACTGATTCCTGTCATGTCTAGTATCTGGCTTTCTGTACGTGAAAACTAAAGTGAGTCCTTCCTCTGGTGGTAATTTCTCTGTCATTTCCGTGGCTTTGTTATGATTCCCTCACCTGAAAGAAGGGAAATATTAACCCCTCGTGTGTGGGGGTCTCTCTCTGGTGAATAAAATCGTCTGACATTGGCCAAATAAAATATCAAAAGTGGTGTCCCCATAATGAAGGGGTTAATTTTCCTAGGGTGTGTTACCTATCACCCAACCACTACAATTTAACTCATTCACAATTCATTAAAGAGACATTTTGACAACCTTATATCTGTACAACAATTCCGAGCAGCAACTAAATAACCTGTTTCCATGGTAACAATGGCTGTGATACCTGAGTGAGGTGGGCGATGATGGCGTCTTTTTGTAACAGTACGTATATCAAATATTTTACGTAAGCTGTGACACTAGTTGTAATAATTCTGATCTTTACACACATACAGTGGTCCCTCAGTTAACAAGCACAATTCGTTCAAGAAGGTTGCTCGTTAACCGAAAAATTCGTTAAACGAAACTATTGTTTCAATGGGTTTTTGGGTAATTGGTTCCAGCTCACCGAAAATTGCCTAAAGTCAACAAAAAAAGTAGTAAAGTACACTTACTTTGAGGTGTGTATGTAGAAGGCTCCTGGATGATGATGATAATGATGATGGGAATTAGAATGGGGGTGGAGGAGAAGGCAGAAGAGAAGGCATTGGGGTGGAAGCGAAGTCACTCCATGGCGCTATTTCACCCATAAAATTTTAGTTCACTTGGTGTAATTCAAGATTGTTTTCTTTAAATCAACACTGCACTGCATTATATATTGTCAATATGTGAAATAAATTTCAAAATGACCAATAATTTGACTGGAAACACAGAAAAAAGCATTTATGTTGAAGAGTCTGAAGCAAGATGTTACCTCCACTGAAAAGACACAGAGACTGACGCCTGTATGGTGTGTTGACAGGCTGTTTTGGCGCACTAAAAACTAGTTTCCCTGTACTTAAATTATGTTAAATAATTGTTAAAATGACTCACAATTTTAATATAAGACTTTTAAAATTATTCAATAACACAAACTTCTTGATATTTACTAAAATAGTAAGGAATTTAAGCCCTAGAACCGATTACTGTATTGGCGGACTAATATGACAGCTAGTGTGCAAGCGAAAACATGTTGAGGGGCGCTCGTAAGGAATTCGTTAATCGAGGGAATGCTCGTTAACCGAAGTTAAGAATGTTATGGAAGGTAATTCGTTTACCGAAATTTCGTTAACCGAGGCGTTCGTTAACCGAGGGATCACTGTACACATATATACTTTAATACCATATACACTTGTGGTGCGGTCACACATATATACACTATATCCTTGACCACCGAAGGGTCAAGACGTACCTGGCGCTCCTCTCGGAGCAGCCAGGTCAACTGTTATGTTGGCCCATACCAACTCCCTCTCCTGAACCCTCCTCCCCACCGGAATATCAACAAGTTCACGCCAGAAGTTACTATTTCATTTAGGAAAGAAATGGAACCAGTGTTAAACAGAGGTGAACAGTGGTGAACAGTGCTTAAGTCAGTGAGAACAACTCAACAGTAACAGTGGTACCCAAGTTGACCTTTCACACAGTGAGGTCCCAGGTACCCAGTGATAACGGCCCGTGAGACCCAACTACCAGCGATGTGTTAATCCGTCTACGATAGGAAGGCCTGGAACCACACCTCACTCATATAACACCATCTGTGAGGGAATTACTACACCACGTGAGGCCCCTCATAACACCATATGTGAAGGAGTTACTACACCACGTGAGGCCCCTCATAACACCATCTGTGAGGGAATTACTACACCACGTGAGGCCCCTCATAACACCATCTGTGAGGGAATTACTACACCACGTGAGGCCCCTCATAACACCATCTGTGAGGGAATTACTACACCACGTGAGGCCCCTCATAACACCATCTGTGAGAATTACTACACCACGCCCCTCATAACACCATCTGTGAAATTACTACACCCCCTCATAACACCAGGGAATTACTACACCACGTGAGGCCCTCCTAACACCATCTGTGATTACTACACCACGTGAGGCCCCTCATAACACCATCTGTGAGGGAACTACTACACCACGTGAGGTCCCTCCTAACACCATCTGGGAGGGAGTTACTACACTACGTTTTTGCTGTTCAACACCTACATTAATCTGTATGTTCACTGTATGTTCCTTTACCTTTCTCTAACGAAGGCTTTTGTTAAACCACCAATGTATGTAATAAGTCATTTATGTCCAATGTATATTTTCAGCCTTCAGGCTGCAGAACTTTTTCAATAAACCGTCAATTATTATTATTATTATTATTATATACAGTACATACATTTTCTAAACAGCGGAGGAATGTTGAGGAGGCAGCTGTATTGCTCTTCCAGTGAAACTCTGCCTAATACAGTACAGGTTAGAGTCTTACATGTAACCTCACCTTATTGTCTGATCCATACCTGTATTTCTGGAGGCTGCCATTCCTCTAGTATTGGTAGGATTAAGTTATGTTTCCAATCTCTTGTTGTAAGTGATGCAGCTTTTGATAGAAATGTCCTGCTACCCATTCAAAGTACTAATACTGTATTGTCACTACTTACTGTCTTTAAGCAAATATAATCAGGGATTCAATAGAGTTTACATAAGAGAGGCTTAACTCGATCCTCTTTGGAACTGATCTGGGAATAAATGTTTCTGGGAAGTAGAGTTTATTCCTGCATACCTCACCTTCAGTAAACACAAATGACTGCATGGTTGCCACTTAATACTGCCCATTGATAGACCTTAATGTTAAAAGATCAATATTCTGACTTATTTGCTCCCTGTCACCAGCAGCACTGGGAATATTTTATCCAAACCATAGCTGTGTTAAGGATGACATGTCTGTGTGGCACAACTGGAGGGAATTAATCCAAAGGTCATGTTGTCTATAAATGAACTAGACAAAGTTATTATAGTTTCAGGATAACCACAACCACCCTTCATGATCTTTCTGAACTTGAATGGTAAAAATTACATTAATTAACAAACACTTTACTTTAAATATGATGAATCTAAATATGACTGGGAATAAAGCTACATATACAGCACTGTCACTGTGGTCTGGAAGCATATGATAAGTTGACACTGGCTTAAGAACTGGCAGGCTTTGTTGTGGGATATTTGCCTGGCCTGCAGGTCATAAGAACCTTTGTGAAAACATGAGACATTGACATTATTACACCACTCAGAACATCTCACCGTCCCATGCATCAAACATGTCATTGATGAAGAAGTCAATGAAGCCAATCTGAGACTTGGGGATGGAGCACGTGGTGCGGTCAAACTGTGGCATCACGATCGGCAGGCTGCGTTTCTTCTCTTCTTCAGTCTGATTGGATAATGAAATAATAGGTTTTAAAACAAATCTCATGACTTTGCGTACAAACCAATTTATGTAAAGTCATTTATAATTAATATCATAAAGTAAAACATGTATAATCTCTCTCTCTCTCTCTCTCTCACTATAAGACTTTTGAAAGACTCTTCCCACCAGTTCATCATCAAGACTCTAAAGAAATTTAACAGACGGCTACAATTACCCTTTTACACCAAAAACAAAAATCTAGTTAATGATTCACAAGTCCCTAATCACTTCTCTCTCTCTCTTACTAACTACAGTAATAAACATCATTCTTTACAGATCTGTTAATGCAAAACCGATGTATACCTGATTGAAGTACTCGTTAGCAATGCGATGAGCCCAGTCGATGTACAGGTGTAGAGGCCTCATGGGGTTACTCACGTCTGCACACTTGATCATCATCCTCTTGATTATGACTAAGTTCTCGGGGGTGCCAAAGGACATCAAGTCTGGGGAATCTCTTGCCCCCTGGAAGGTTAGCCGGCCACATCAAAATACTGTACTTCCTTATGAACCAAAATTTACTCAAACATAAACTACGGCCATTATGATTTTCTTTGCACTTATAAAACTATAATTTCCTCCAACTGACTGACTGACTGGTTCACATAAAATAATGACAAATAGACAAAAAGTGAAACCCATTACAGTATTTATTTTTTTAACTACACAGAAACAAGTCCCTGACCCATGTAGAGACTCCTAAGACTCACATATTCTAAACTCTTTGGGTGTGACGGCCACCTTGGAGCTACTACAGCAACATTACCCTGAGGCGTGTGATAAGAACATAAGGAGTCTGCAATAGGCCGGTTGGCCTGTGCATGGCAGCTCCTGTCGAGAGTTACAACCACTCTCTGTCATCCATGAATCTATCTAGCCTCCTTTTAAAACTTTCCAGCATTCCAGCACTTACTACAAAGTTGTTAAGCTTGTTCCACTCATCTACCACCCTATTTGTGAACCAGTTCCTTCCTATCTCCCTCCTAAACCTAAACTTATCCAACTTAAAATCGTTGCTACGAGTCCTATCCTGCTCGGATATTATAAGAACTTTATCTATATCTCCTTTATTGATTCCTTTCACACACTGCCGTTAAAAAATATTTCCTCACTCATAATCTATCTCCAATTTCTTTGTATGAATAAAAACTAGCCAATATTATGACTTACCGTAGTCTATACTGTAATAAAAAAGTTTCTACATTGGTTTTAGTTCACTAGAAACAGTAGAGGTGAGGTAAATATCAACCTTTTTCATGATAAAACCAAATTTTTCACAAGATTATCAAGTTCCCAAGAAATATGAATGTCAGAAATGGAAATCACTTTCTGTCATGACATACTAAAATTATGCTCTTTATTCTACCCTAAACCTGAAACTGTACAAAAGAATTCCAGTGACCTTGAGCACATGACCTAAGGCACCAACAGTAAGCTACACAACATGCTGAACTTTCTATATAAATCTCAAACACCTGACCTGATACTTCAATACCTTAGAACAACAAAAAATTGAATGAAAAAAAGTTGAATAACTGGCTAGAAATGAATCTATTTGTAGTAGAGTGTTTACAGTACAAAATACAGATGGTGAATGTTGAATAAAGACACTGTAAGAATGATGGTGATGATGAAACATTATTAATGGTGCTGGTGATGGTGAGATGGTGGTGTTGCATGCTGATGAGAGTGAGAGATTGATGGGACAATGTTTGATGATGTAATGTTGATGTATTAGTGATGATAGTGTTGATGACAGCAAGGTGTGGTGTCAGTCATGTTGATCAGAAGGAGATAGTGTGGTGACATAACCCACAACTGGCTGCTGATGTTAGATATACAATGAGACAACAAGTGGAGACGCTCACATCAAATGATGTCGTGTCATCATCCTTAACCGGTGTCTTGCTGTTGCCCGACATGTTGATAAACTTGCTGAGGTGCTCGAAGTGTTTGGTCATGTCTGTTGCCAGCACCATGTCGATGACGCTCTTGCGAACATGCTTGTAAGTGTCTCGATCCAGGGCTGCAACGTGCAATTGCAGGGCATGCATCAAGGTATTGCTAAGTGAGGGGTGAGTGCACAAGTTGACAATAATAAGGTACAGTACCATCTTGCTCAATAAAGCTCTGTAGACTTGCACATGATGGTCACACACCATCATACAGCAAAAAAAAAAAATCAATATAATGTACTATTGAGAATAAAGACAAAAGATGTCATCCCCACCTGGATAAATAACTCACAATTTAGCTTTTAAACCTTAAACAGCAGCTAACACCAACTGATGTTAGCTGTAGGATGTTTAATGTTTCTCGTGTTCCAGGTTTTGCACACATGGGGACGGATCAGAGAAGCCTTACCTGCCACCTAAGGGTTAAGCTCAACAAAACTCATGGGAAAGATTTCCGTGTTAATGTCCCAAGAGATGCAACTTACAAATGACCTGATGAATACCTGTGTCTGTGTATAAACTGCCAACAAAACCTTAACACACTCAATACTATCTACTATTATTCACTTCTCAAATAAAATGGTACAACAAATTCTCTCCAATATTTCTCATTTCCCATCACCGGTCAACTGAATGATAATAACATAAAGTTTATTAATTCATTACAATTCTCCTTTTCTCTCTTCAGGTTTATGACTTTTACTAAACTATTGTTAGACTTTAAATAAATAAATAAATAAATACAGTAAATAAATAAATAAAAAAAAAAAAATAAATAAAAAAAAAAAAATAAAAAAAAATAAAAAATAAAATAAATAAATAATAAATAAATAAATAAATAAATAAATAAATAAATAAATAAATAAATAAATAAATAAATAAATAAATAAATAAATAAATAAATAAATAAATAAATAAATAAATAAATAAATAAATAAATAAATAAATAAATAAATAAATATATATATATATATATATATATATATATATATATATATATATATATATATATATATATATATATATATATATATATATATATATATATATATATATATATATATATATATATATATATATATATATCAGTTGCCTCTGAAGATGTCTTGAATAAAGACGAAAGCTAAGGTGCTCCGTTGTTTCCCTTTTCCCGTGTGATTTTATCAAGATATATATTTATATATATATATACTGTAACAATAGTAAGTTTGTCATGTGGATCCTCAATTGAATTCATTTTTGCTTTTGTTTGTATATAACTGATAAAAGCAGATGGTGGCAGGCTGCATCCAGTGTTATGGTTGATTCAAGAGCTGATCATTTCCCTTTAAGGTCCCACTGCTCTTTTATGATTTATTCTTATATAATGATCAATATCAACTAAGCCCTGTCGACACAATTATAGCATAACAGTACCAACTAATACCATGTTTATTCTGCCTCTTCTACTATATTTAAGCAATACATCTCTTATTAGTGTTTATAACTGTACTCAGCTCCTATTGGGTACCATAACAACATACTCAGTTAGGTTATTACATGTGAAAAAGAACCAAAAGTTTACTAAATCTTCTTAACAGCTCAGCAACTGTGTTAAACTCATCCCCCACCTCCAAACAAGTTAACTCTACACATCTATAAACAATTTTAGTATCATTTAGGGACACCAGACTCACCAATTATTTATCTATAGTTCTAATACCTGGTGTACAGTCACTTGCATTAATATCTGGCATTGTGGCTGATGCTTTTTGAGAGATGTGGCACCTGTGGGTTTGTTTACATCGTATTAAAACTCCTGGAATGACCCCTAAGGAACGTCGCAATAATAGCCAGACTAAAGATTTTAGATAAACATTCCACACAGTTGCCACATCTCACAACAAACACCAGCCACTGTACCAGGTTATTAGTTTAAGTGACTGTACATCCTGATGGACTGTAAGTACTGTGCTACTACAGGTGATCAGCAACTAAAAAGCATTTGTGAGTGACTGTACCAAACTACCAGCAACCCTTCACTGTGAACTATCAAAAATACATCAGTTTGAGAAAATTAAAACAACAAAATCATCTAAAACACATTTATAAAATAATTTTGTAAAGTATAACTAACATGCATGGTGTAGATACTTATACCATACACTATATACAGTATAATTATAATATATTTCACAACCCTCAGTCCCCCTCAAAAAATCTTCCTCTCAATCATAGTTACAGAGTAGTGAGAAATATTCCTCCTAAAGTCTATTGTAAAGTCTATTGATTCTAGTTTAAACAAAAGCACAATAAATAAATCCATGACTAAAGAGATTTATAAGTCAACACTACATAAAGCACCACACTTTACTCTACTTATTTACCTTTATAAGTAATCATCTACTCCTCCTCCTTCTCACTACACAGGTTAAAGGGTAACTATCATAACTTCCTGCCTTCAGAGCTCAAATATAACTTGTCCACTGTATAAGTTAGGTAGAGCAGTTGTCATGGTTACATCCCATTTTATCTACTTCCCATTTTGTCAACTTCCCATTTTGTCTACTTCCCATTTTATCTACTTCCCATTTTGTCTACTTCCCATTTTATCTACTTCCCATTTTATCTACTTCCCATTTTGTCTACTTCCCATTTTATCTACTTCCCATTTTATCTACTTCCCATTTTATCTACTTCCCATTTCGTCTACTTCCCATTTTGTCTACGTCCCATTAGGTCATCATTAACTGGCAGTAAACAAAATGACCATAAACCATTCTCACTAAAAACAGATACAATAATAAAAAGATAATTACTATAACTGATAAAATTATAAAACAAAATAGAAATAAAGACAGAAGCTAAAATGCAAACAGACATAGGCTAAGTAAATATGAGGTCTGACAAGTAAAGCTATACCGAGAAGAAGCTACAAAAATAAACAAAGATATGAGAGCTTAATATGAATGAGGTTATTATATAATACTAAAAAAAATATTCTTCCCTAGACACTATGAGGTCTTTGCTTCCCTCTACTGTACTGTACCCTGACCAATAGTATCACACCCTCACTCGCTCCTTAACACGTGGGAAGTTTAATTGGTGGAAAATAACCCCCGCCTTCGTCCCTGCCCCACCTAGAACACACATCTGACATTTCCTCCTGCCTGTACAAATATATTCTTCTCGTAAAATAAAATACAATTTCTCACAAACTGATTCGTAAGTGTATAATGAACACTCGAGTAAATTAAGTCCCCCCCCCCCTCCCTCCCTCCCTCCATCCATCTTAAAAATGCCCTAAATAACACCTGGAGTCATATGAGAAACTAACTCAAATGAGAAGCTATTGAGGTGTTGACGCTGGGACCCCTCCAGAGTGGGTTAAGGTTGTAGACTTACGGATCTTGCCCTGGACAACCTGGTCTGTCAGTGTTACCACCTTATTGAAGTGGCTGCTGTTGCATTAGGAGATATTTTGTCTATTTTTTTACATCTGCAGCGAAACCTCTATTTAACGGACTATATGGAGAGGGAAAACCGTTATATCGAGGGTCCGTTAGCTATGAAACCCCCATCTAACGGATTATATCGATAGAGAAGTCTGTCATGCGGAGGTTTCACTGTGCTGTATTGGATCTCAGGAAGTTGCCACAGAATATAAATTTTGGGATCTGTTTATTAGTCCACTACAAGACCTATTACTAAGCCTCACCGGATCTTGAGTCAACCACCTGATCACATGAGACTCAGTGACTGCCCCTGGTGTGAATAGGTGAGAGAGTGCTGCTTCTCTTACCTGCCTGGATAATATGAATGTAGGACGTTTCGACCAGGATGATTACGACCTAATTTAACCTAACCTAACCTTGGCAACAGCAATCGTCGGGTGGTCCAAACGTCCGCTCACCAGATACTATACCCTGCTGCTGAGCATGTTAAATCCTGTGGCTAAAAAGGTGGGAGCTGCCAGAAGATGTCTAAGTCTCTTTCCTCCTTTAGTCATGAATAGAATCTAATATTTCAATCCTTCATGTCTATCTTTGTTCAGTCTTCAATATAATGTCATCAAACTAGATTCTCATCAAGTGGAATATAGAAACACTGACACCTGAAGCTCGACTACTCTCCACCTCCATCAACCTTTCCACCTCTCTGTACTAGAACACTATTGTACCTGATATTTATATGGTTACACAGTTTGGGTAGATTATCTTTTTTATCTACTTCAGGTTTGTTGTCGTCCACTGCAATTAAAATTATAAAGAAACACTGGACTAATCAAGTGAGTTTCCTTCTACACTCTTCAGCCCTTCCATCTCACTCATTAACCCTTTGAGGACGATGGTTTAACCTTTTGAGAACGATGGTTTAACCTGCTGAGGATAATTGTTTAACCTTTTAAAGACGATGGTTTAACCTTTTGAGGACGATGGTTTAACCCTCCAAGACTAAAAGGGTTAAGTGCAGTACTGTTTATGCTATCATCAACATGCAATATTTACAAAACTTGAGAATAGTATTTACTTAAACATACCAACTGAGCTACTCCAAATAATAAATATTATGTCAACATATTTATACTGCATTAAAAATATTAATTAACTACAGAGCAAATGTCTAATGGCAACTATTTACGGGTACAGTACAGTACTGCTGACTGGCTGGTGACCGGCTGTTGGGTAGTAAAGCAAACTGTTAAGATTGGTCTAATATTTTCTTACCAGTTGTGATTCAACAAGCCAGCTGTGTTAAGTAAAGAATTGTTCAATAAAAAAATGTTTGCTCATGTAACATCCACAAACAGTACATTGATGTTTTACCTTATGTTTATTACAAAAGATACAGTCCAGTACACTCTATACACTAACTCTGGCACACAGTACATATCAATATCACATTTTTCTAAAACATTATCTTCACACACAACTAAATCACTAATTTCTTCACAAATATTTAATGAAGAAATCAGAAAAAAAAAATCCAAAGGTTAATCAGACATACAGTAAAATAAGGTACTTCTCTGTCATACACAAGTTATTCAACACCCAGTACTGTAAGTTAAACACACAGCCCTCAACACATGTGGTCTACTCTACAACACAACTAAAATAACTACACTCTACAGTACAGTGGATATGTGTCTGCATAACTGTATTTCTATGAAAGGATATTTATGTATGTACAGTATGTATGTATGTATGTGTGTGTGTTATTACCTATTAACTGGATAGAGATCACGTAAGATACCTATAATTAATGCATATATTAATCTATAGTAATTATAGATCAACAACTATTAGTGTTAATAGTCAGTTAAGTGCAATAAATTACTACCCCATACACACAGAAAACAACAACTATGACGTTTGTGACACTTTAACACATCTCCTATAATGTTTGTGACACTTTAACACATCTCCTATGATGTTTGTGACACTTTAACACATCTCCTATGACGTTTGTGACACTTTAACACATCTCCTATGATGTTTGTGACACTTTAACACATCTCCTATGACGTAGTGACACTTTAACACATCTCCTATGACGTTTGTGACACTTTAACACATCTCCTATGCTGTTTGTGACACTTTAACACATCTCCTATGCTGTTTGTGACACTTTAACACATCTCCTATGCTGTTTGTGACACTTTAACACATCTCCTATGATGTTTGTGACACTTTAACACATCTCCTATGACATTTGTGACACTTTAACACATCTCCTATGACGTTTGTGACACTTTAACACATCTCCTATGACGTTTGTGACACTTAACACATCTCCTATGATGTTTGTGACACTTTAACACATCTCGAACTGTTATCTAAATCACTGAACTCAAATTATATGTTATGGTCAGTAAGGAGTGAAATACCTTTATAAATGTTGACACGGTCGTCCGAGTGCGAGTACTTGAAGGACACAGCCGCGTGGTGAGATTCCAAGACACTCAGGTCATTGTAGAGGATAGCTAGTTCATTGTCTGTGTTGCAGAGGAATGCACTGAAAGGAAAATTATTATTATAGAACATGTAGCCCGTGTTATCCATGGAGGCAGTACCATGAAAAAGAACAACCATAACTAATACAAAAAATAAATAAATAAATAAATTGAATGCAAGATGTCACCTCTTACCAATACATCATCACTCACAGCAAAACTCATTCCTCTCTACCAACAACTACTCTCAGTGTACCTGTTTTTGCCGGGGTGATCGACGTCGTGAACAACCGCAGCGATGAGGGACGCCGCAACGTCGAGAGGATCTAACAGCTGTCCCAGTCGCTCCTGGTTGAGGAAGTACGCAGTCGCTTGGAGGACATCGGAAGCATGAGTGGAGTTGTGGTAAGTATTGTCGGAGTGGTAGTTCGCTTCTATTAGCGTCAGCCAATTTTGTATGGTTTGTTCATCACAGCCTAGTGTATCCGGCACGTGAAATTTACACATCAGACTCATACCGAGCCACACTAGCGGTCTGTTAGTGAGAGAAGGAAAACAATATGAGTACTGTCTTCCTCATCAAGTATTCCTCATTAGATTACCTTGAAGGACGATGTTATTTACACTATAGAGATACAGTGGGGTATGCTATAACGAACGGATCCTACTACGAATATTCCTATAACGAACGGTTTTACCTATAAAATTGAGAATGCTATAACGAATGCAACTTCTACAACGAACGCGGCTGAATACGGGACTATTTCGTCTGGCGCATGAATATTGTTGTACCGCGGCTCACAACAGGAGCGTCAGGCGCCATCTTTGTCTCATTGTGTAGCCAGTGCACCACTGTTATTGTTGAAATTTCGTCTTTTGATGTGGAAATTTGTGTTATTTGTATAACTATTTTGTTATACAAGTGTACAATTGCAACAATGAATCGTCCAAAAAGAGTGAGAAAGCTAATAACCCTTGAAACTAAGAAAGAAATCATAAAGAAACGTGAGAATGGAACAAGCATTGTGAAACTTAGTGATGAATATGGGATGGCTAAATCGACTATATGTACGATTTTGAATAAAGAGGAGTTAAAAACTGTGCAAGTGGCTAAGGGAATCTTTAGACTTAGCAAAGCAAGGTGTAATGTGATTGAAGAGATGGAAAATTTACTCTTAGTGTGGATAAAGGAGAAAGAAATGGCAGGTGACAGCATTAGTGAAGCTATAATTTGTGAGAAGGCTAAACAATTGTTTGAGGACCTTAAAGCCAAGACTCCCAGTGGAAGTGATAGTGATGTGCCAGTGTTTAGGGGTACCTGCATGCTGAACAACACTAAGGTAAGGTAAAGTACCGTATCTTTTACATTTTCCACAGAAAATTTTCAGTGTTAAGTGGTTGTATTTGGGGGCCTGGAACGGATTAATCCTATAACGAACGAATGCTATAACGAACGAGGTTCTAGAACCAATTAGATTCGTTATAGCATACCCCACTGATACAGTAAAAAATTAAGTTACAGACATCTAAATCTATTACACGGAGAATAGGGGGAATTCTTGGAAATTTTTATTGTACTGATGATGTTACTTACTGTACACATTGACTCTAAATTGTCTACATTAACTACAGGTACAGTAGACACTTTTTTTATACAGTATTAAGTATAAACAGATGTCTATATATACATCAGTGTAAGAACATATATCTTTACCCTTTGTATCCGAGTTATCCTCCGAGCTGAATAAAATCATCTGACGTTAACCAGACAGCATACTACTGGTCCTGGTACAGAGTGTCGTCCCGTAGCACAGAGCTCTATGTACACTCACTCACCTTTTGTCTGAGATTTTTTCAAGTTTAATGACGTCAAAGTTCCAGGACAAATCATCTGCCAGGAGCTCTCGTATCGCTGCAGAGGCTTGTTGATGGAGGGCTGGTAACGACTGCCGCGACAGCTGACTGACCTTGACGGCTGTGTCGTTACTGCTGCGACGACCAGAAAGCAGTGGCTTTGGGCCTTGCTGTTGAGATCCAGAAGACTTATTTTTTTATTACTGAACAAAGAACAATATAATAAATTCTATCTTTTGACAGACAGACAAAACCAACTCAATCTCCTCTACAAGATGTATTAATGATCGTGTACAGTGTATAAGTGATAGATGTTAGAACACAAGAATTAGTGGGAGTTATGTATCTTACTACAATAATAATAATAATAATAATAATAATAATAATAATAATAATAATAATAACCCATTTTCTATATTAATCAATATATGTAAGTGTCTCCATTACATCTCCTGACACTCCTAAGTGATAGCGAAAATAATTACTGTATTACTAAATAATTATAATTTTGTTCACACAGTTCTGTTTCCTGTTCATATTTAAGCTCATATAAACTTTAGGTGTAATTGATGTTCTGTTATTTCTATTTATATTCAGTACTTTATTTTACTGTATTATTTCCCTCTACTGTATATAGTACTCTATTTTACTGTATTGATCATAGCTGTTGAAGGGTGATGACTGGTTCCTACACCTACAGCAGCCATCATCCACATTACCAGCTGCAACGTTTACTTCTACCTCTGAGTGTGGGAAGTGTGGAATAACCAAGAAGTGAGATGAAAGTGAGATAAAGCCCAACATGAGGCAGATTGGGAGAGAGAAGCAACAAGCTGAGAAGATATTTGGAAAAAATCTTTGCATTAGGTATTGATTAAGATGTTAGTTATAAGAGACCTCAAGATGCATCGCTACCAGCCACACCTACCGCGAGGAGTCCCCCAAGGAGGTCAGTTGCTACGGGATCAGCGGGCACTGGTCTGACGTTATCTGGGGTTGCCGATATCAGCTGGGGAGAGTAGAGTTCGGTTGAGCGCAGTATCTCCAGCACCTTCTCCAGGGCTTGTGCAACGTAGGCCGGGGAGTTCTCTTGAGCGGCGTTGATGATGTTGAAGACTCTGGTGATTGGAGCCTCGATGGTGAGAGAGTGGAGTTTGACCAAACTCTGGCGACGGATGATGTTCTGAGTCCCTGCGGGTGAGTGGACGCGTCACCACATTGAACTGGTCTAAAGGCTCTGGTAAACTTTAATAATTTTCAGCTTAATGACGGAGCAATTTTGGATAAAAGTGACATCATATATAATATTGACAATCCAATAAAGACAGTTCATACATACAGTTGTAAAGGAAAATAAATCAAAGGACTGTGCACAAGAAAAGCTGAAAACTGCTACAAAGTGTTGACCTAACTACAAAAGTCTCACTCAAGCATTTAGGTTTCCACGAAGCATTTTAAGTACTGTACATAGTTACCTTGTACCTCTAAAACAATGAAAAGATTTACTTAAAAGCTTTTATTATACAAGCTGTGCGTCTTCACCATCTGTGCCCTGTATGATACCAACCACAAAACCGTGTGACAAACTCTAAGGCATTGGTGAAAGTTCTTAAAATGCAGAATATTACACAATTTTACACCAAGATGACAATTTATTCTGCTACTACTGTACTGACATATACTATGTGTGTGTGACACCAGACGAATTAAGTTACAATGCTGTTTGACAACAGAGCCATGCATGTTATAACATTTATGATGAGACACATTGTATGTATGGACACATCTCAAGAGTAATAACTACTTGGCAAACAGCACATATTTTATCATCATTCCTGGTGTGGTTTTTGAAGGAGTTATCAGTCATGGAGGGGCTGCACTGCTGCACCCTAATCATGCACAATTCTCTCACGACGGCAGATTATCACATCGACACGGTCACAACACACATGGTAAGCAAAGCCGAATTGTGTCTGACTGGATGTGTCTTCTCTCTACACTTGGTGATACATAATGGTGTTCATATGTCCTCCGTGTTGCCAGTAGTATCAAACAACTGTGATATCTTCTGTGCCGACTATCTCCCCTAAATTTAATGATGGTATTAATGACAGCAGCTACATAAGACACGGTAATTACTGCCCCGCATAACAGACAATTCGATGTAATTAATGACTGTAATTCAATAATGTAAAATAATTTGGTTTATTAAGTCATTTTAATCCACACTAACAGTAGATGCCTCGTGTTGATATCTTTTGTATGTTGTTAATAAAGGATTTTAGACGTTGGTGATATTGTTTCTCACGTGGCTGTTTAAAGGCATATTAAAAAAATCTGATCACCGAGTCTCATTCTTGCGCTGTGGCGCCACTGATTAGGACATGACAGACCCAACTGACTCGAGGTGTTATTGTTCATCACCTTCCTTTGTCGAGATACTAACATATACAGTACCAGTAGTCTGTTCATTATCTAGCCGTCAGACTCGTCCCCGCCCAGCAATATGATGTATGGTTTTTGTGATTGGATAATGTAGCAGTATCCTCTGTAGAAGTAAATTTTTATGGGTCAATCTACAGCACTTATTGTTTTATGACTGGCCAATCACAAGCCAAGATGAGAGAAAGAGGGCGGGGCTATTTGACATTTCCATAATCAAGAGACTATAGTACCTACCACTACTGTACTCAGATCATTTGCTCTTCAACTCCTGTGCTGTACTGTATCAAGAGGTGCCTTGCGTAAAGTGAAAGATGCAGACAATTTTCTCCAAGCACATGAAGCACGAGGGGTGCAAGTTGTGTCGTGAAGTGCGCAGTGAAGTACTAGAACTCTTTTAATGTAAGGTGAAGCAAACTGTGGTGTAACGTAAACTAAAAACTAAGAAAAAAATAGCAAAAGTTCTGTATAATTTACAGTGTTCTTCTATGTTAAGGCGAGTGAATAAAACGTGTGCTAATGCAAAACTGGGGAGAAGGCATCGAGTCCCATACTAAACCTATGACAGAGGATTAGGGACACTGTTAAATAAGTTGCCTTTCCCCCGCCACCCAACAAAAGCTACATCACGTGACTCAATAAGCAATCGGAAACATTATGGTATTACATCAACATAACAATAGTCTTAATCCTTTTATTGTTCAAGTTAAGATATTACAGTACCGATGAATTTTGCTTTTATTTCAGCACTGTACCACAATATAAGTCTTTTTCCATTTCTGCCAATTCAGGGAACTTAAAAGGAAACTGTATCAACTAATGTAGCAGTGAGTCAAGCTGTAGTAGAGAGTCAGGTACTAGTGTTGATTATAGTGTTATCTTTTGAGGTAGAAGCTATGAGCACATTTACAGGAGTTGCAATATTGATAGTGAAATATTAAACGTAAAGTGTGTGTAGATGATAACTGATTTGATGGATGGGTTCCACATATTTTCTCCATTTTTTTTTTTTTTTAGCCATACCTAAAGTTTTCTTTTTAGTCAGAGTATAACTGATGAGCGACCTATATCACTTTATATTACAGACAGTGGTATTTAACTCTTTGGCTGCCTCATAACACCACTCTGAACATGAACCTTGAATGACAATCAACATTATTCATTAGGATAAATGTTGAAAGATGAATTTTTTAAGATTATTCTAAAGTTCTTTGTCATTTTAAATCCTCCTTCATAACATAATACAGTGACCCCTCGTTTAACGAACACCTCGGTTAACGTAATTTCGATTAACGAACTGCCTTCCATAAGGATCTTCAATTCGGTTAACGAAAAAAAATTCGGTTAACGAAGTTCTTACGAACCGACCTCAACATGTTTTTGCTTGCACTGACCGGGCAACCAGCTTTAGTATCAGTCCGCCAATACATTAATCGGTTCTAGGGCTTAAATTCCTTACTATTTTAGTAAATATCAAGAAGTTTATACTATTCAATAATTTTAAAAGTTTAATATTCAATTTTTTAGTCATTTTAACAATTATTGAACATAATTGAAGGTAAAGTGACTAGTTTAATGCTGCATCCAGCCTCTTAACACAGCAAACAGGAGTTAGTCTCTCTGTTTTCACTGGAGGTAACATCTTGCTTGAGACTCTCTTCAACTAAACGCTTTTTTTCTGTGTTTCCAAGCAAATTATTGGTCATTTTGAAATATATTTTACATATTGACAATATATAATGCAGTGCAGTGTTGATTTAAAGAAAATAATCTTGAATTACACCAAGAGAGCTAAAATTTTATGGGTGAAATGGAGCCATGGGGTGACTTCTTCCACCCCAATGCCTTCTCTTCTTCCTTCTCCTCCACCCCCATTCTAAATCCCATCATCATCATCATCCAGGAGCCTTCTACATACACACCTCAAAGTAAGTGAACTTTTCTACCATTTTTGTTGAATTTAGGAAATTTTCGGTGAGCTGGAACCAATTACCCAAAAACCCATTGAAACAATGGTTTCGGTTAACGAAATTTTCGGTTCACGAACGACCTTCTGGAACGGATTGAGTTCGTTAACGGAGGGGTCACTGTACTGTACTATGTCTCGTACTGTCTCCCTCACCACTGTACAAACCATCATCTCCTCCACCAAAACAAACTTCTTATGAACACTAAGATTTCTCTCCAAATCTTATCCCTGTATTAACCCTTTGACAAGTTTGTAACACACATACACCAATCAGTGGGTGTGAAGGCATCTCAGCCCTCCAGGAACATCTGTATATCCTGATGATAATTCTCCCACGATCCAGTACAGTGCCACTTAAGTGTTATCGAGGCTCAAGGTCATGCTCGGCCTCATTCGCCCTGAAAGCTATACACACCCAAGAGATAAAAAGGAGGTGTGATGACTGGTAGAAAATAAAGACGTGTGTGTGTGTGTGTGTGTGTGTGTGTGTGTGTGTGTGTGTGTGTGTGTGTGTGTGTGTGGTGTGTAACTTGTCAACAACGACCTGTTAGTCACTCTCATCAAAGAATTTCCCTCAAACTAAACTTGTTGGGCGTACTGAAGCGATGGGATTTTAATTTTTTCCCCTTGTAAAATATGAAATTTTATTATATTATGCATGACAGAAATACTTTCTAGAATCTTATGATAAACACACTGTAATAAGCATGGACAATACCCACACACACTAACTCACTCTGATAAGCATGGACAGTACCCACACACACTAACTCACTCTGATAAGCATGGACAGTACCCACACACACACACTAACTCACTCTGATAAGCATGGACAGTACCCACACACACACACACACTAACTCACTCTGATAAGCATGGACAGTACCCACACACACACACACACTAACTCACTCTGATAAGCATGGACACTACCCACACACACACTAACTCACTCTGATAAGCAGGACAGTACCCACACACTAACTGCCCACAGATGACAGTAATATTCCATCTGGAGCTCTAAATCATTATCATCACTTATGTGGGTTTGTCATGATTACTCTTTGGCCTACATAAATGACTGGCAACCGCTCACTGGTAAAGTAAGGCTTGGCTCTGAATAAGTCCAAAGCTTCATTGGAGCAATCTTGGCTACAGTTCTAAGAAAGTTTGTCTTGGTATGACATTAAGTAAGGGTGATGCCTAAGGCTTCTGTGTTATATGATGATAGAGTGGTCACAATTTATTCAGAACTGTGCAGTACATCACAAATGTTACGACATATTAAGCTATGAATCTGGCTTCGCAACACTGAAGGAAACTAAGACTGGCTGGGCTGTGCATTACCTCATTCTGCTATGTATGTGATGTTTTCTTGTTGTGATGAGGTTGTCAATTGTCTGGTATTACAACAGGTATCTTGTGAGACCGAGGCAAAATATCTTTACAAAAGGCGATTGCTCTACACAATACCTCTACATTAAACTGTACATAATGCTCCACTTTTGTGATAAAAAGTAGGTGAACAAAGTAAAAGTAATCTTCCCTTTGATAGATTTTGATGGAACACTTTTTGTACATCATATAAATCATTCCACCTATTAACTTAGTGGAGTTAAGAGGAAGTACCAGTTTGTTAATAGTTAATGGAAACAATATGGAATGAACGAAGATGTATAAACTCCCATTCAAAGTTCTCCTGTATATATTTATCACCACAAAAGTGCAACTCAAACTTGATCTCTGCTACTGTCTCCTACAACACAGATTAATACAAGTTGAAGTAGTAGTTCTCTGTTGACGTAATACTTGAATGTCTCTCTTTTATTTTGGCTTTAGCTCTACTCAGTCCGGAATAGGGTGCTTAGTGAGGGCATTCTCCAGCGTGTACCCAGCAGCACAGATAACACCAGTGAATACAGGGATATAACACAACAGATTAAAGTACTCCACCAAGTAACTCCACACATGCCAGACAATTATTTGCTTGTGATCCCCCAATGAAAAATTTTATACATTACCCATTTTCTGTGATTAGAGAATATACAGTGAGAAGTATTACGCATCACAGTTTATACAAGTACAGTTACTACATATGTTGAAGAGTCTTAGGTCACCCTTGTCTCCATCCCACTTAAATTAGTCAACACAGCACACACAAGAGGACCACAACCAAACAAACACATCTAGCACACTGGGACCTTCACACAAAACAGCCCCCTTACCCTCTACAAAGTTCAGACTCTCAAAGTTCAGGTTGCGGTTAAAGGTAAACTTCTCTCGTTCAACGGGGGCACTCAAAACGCGTCCCGGGTGATCGTTTTCTACAGGAGGCCCCCCTAGTAAAGTAAAAGCTGTCGGATCCATAAAGTGAGTTGATTCAGATCCTGGTAATATAGAGGCTTAAGTGCAGTCACAACCTGTCTTTTAGTTCAACAGTTTAAGATAAGAGATACTGTACTGTAACTCTCTCTCTCACTCATTTATTAAACTCTTTCCTACATCACTTCATCTTTCTTGCCTGCACATTTTCTGGAAACTGCAATTAAACTTTGTTATAAATTAAAACCTACTACACTGGACCCCTGCGTAATGGAATGGACTTGTTCTTGAACAAGTGGCCGTATCGAGGATTTCCATAACGCGGGGGTCCGGTGTATACAAATATCACTGAAAAGAAAAATAATAAATAAGGAGAAGCTTCACTACCCAACAACTGGATCTGTAATAACATGTGATATATCAATAAATAAAAGTGGAAAATTTTCTCATAAAAACTTTGCAAGACAAAAGGTTAAATTTACAGAATTTAATTAGTTCAATATACAACACTACAGAACTATTAATGTACAGGTAGACAGATACCACTACGTACAACCATAACCCTGAGTCACACCAGATAATGAACACCTTAAGGCAGCCACGTGGTTCTCTTTGCTCACTAAATATCTCTGCTGTAGAATGTTGGTGAGTGTCAGGTCTACTGATACAGGAGTTTAATGCTCATTTATTATGTCATTAGAAATCTTATTCTTTGTTTTCGGTCATATTTAAATTTGTAGAGACGAACTGCAAAAATTCACGTATTAATCATATCTGTCCAGTATGTAATATGATTCCCAATTTTTAGGAATTAGTACTGTAATATACTGTACTAATTCCTAAAAATTGGGAATCATATTATGTACTGGACAGATACTGTACTGTACTATATTGGACTACATCTGAACACATAGTGAATTTACCTGACTTAATAAAATAATTTTAAACAAAAGGAAAGGGAATCAAAATCATGAAAAAAGTCAAACTATAAAAGAAACACAAAGTAGAGCACTGTATCAATATATGAAGCATTACTTAGTGACTAGTGAAGTAAAGTACAGTACTGTATCAATATATGAGACATTACTTAGTAAAGTACAGTACAGTACTGTACAGTACTGTACTTTACAGTACTCTGATAACCTTAATTTCCATCACTATCACCAACATGCTTCCTGTCCTCAAGTATGTTTCACTACATGCTGAACCGGGAGAAATATATACAAGTATGTTTACATTTTACACAATACTTCTCCATTGGCAAAAATGGAGGATTCATTCTGAAATCATATTCTGTAAGTGAATGAAGACCAAGTAACTTTGTGGAGACAACAAGTCAAGAGCTCATAAAACTAAGCCCCACAGCCTCTGCTTGTGCCTGGCATCTACAAACCATTTTCGGTTAATGAACAGATAATACTCCAACTCCATACAGAGGTCACAAAGATATTCCCTTGGTAATAAAGTACACTGTAAGGGGAGAAGAGTTAAAGGGATCAAACCTGACCAGCCACCATCGGTCCAACTCACTTCTGCACTCCACAGTCTGGGATAAAGAGTTGCTCAAACCTACACAACTACAAGGACTATATCAGGGCCTAATCACCTGATAAATAAGATGATAAATAATTTAACTCCACTTTTGGGGCAGATGCCACACAAGCACTCTGAGCACTTGTACTTGCCTGACAACCTGACTGTGACTCAGCTGGAAGAAGGTCAAATTGCCTGTCTGTTGATCTGATATTCATGACTTGTTTCCTTCTCTTTTGGGAATTGGCTGTGAAGGGAGAAGTGTAACTAATTCACAAACGAGTGTCGGTCTTATAGCGTCTACGGCTTAATCAGAACTCACGGTTATGATTAATGAGCAATAAAAAGGGATTATAGGACTACTACTCCTTTAATGGCTACAGGGAAGAGATAAATGACCTTCGACATCACTTGCCAGAACACACCCCTGACACAGCCTACCTTACCCAGGAGGCTGTAGGAATTGAGGGACACCATCCCAGTAAACTTAATACAGGAGAAATTAGCAGGTGTTAATGTGAGGCCCCAACAGGCACAGTGTGTATCTACAGTGGAGAAGGTATACCATCCAACTTGAGCACAGTGTATAGTACTGTACAAGAGGGTGGTGGAAACAACTGTTGCCAATTTGGTGATTCTAAATTGGATCTGGAGACCAACTACAGTATAGTGTACCACTTCCTCTCTTCTATACTTTAAGTTCTATTGAGATACTGTATTAAGACAGTGATTTTCTACCAATTTCGGGGGAAAGTCAAGACGACACAATTATGTACTGTACTCCAATTTACTTTAGTAACACTGGAGCCTCACTCATGGAAACAGCTGGCAGTCATCCACCTTGGTCATTTGCAAATAAAATACAGATAATAAACAATATGTCAGATGTGCCATAAACACGACTCACCTCAAAAATACACCTTTGTATACTGTACACTGAAGTGTATCAGGAAACATGTGGTAAAAGTAAAGGAGTGCAGAAGAATTTTTTAGCAGCTGACAAAAGGCTAGAGGTTGATATACTGTGAAGACTGATGTCTGTGATAAGTCTGGGACTCAAGGGTTGAAGTCAAGGCAATTGGTAACAAGGTTCACACAAGAGTATCTGCTGGCTCTCTGTTTTTAAAAATAATCAGTGAATTAATGTTAGAAATTAATTCATAATCCATAATTCAGCTTGGTCAGTAGCAACTTACACAAAACTGTACAGTACAGTACAGTACTATGATGAGAGAGCACCTCTGTCTCAGAGGACAGGTGCCCCCAGATGAAGCAGCTCTGCCAAGAGTTGTTCTGGTACCATAATCTAACAGGTCACTTGTCATCATCATAAGCCATATGAAAAATCTCTTACTATTTCTAATTTTCTGACCCAATAATTTATTTCCTTTTTTATTAATCTATAATTGTTTGTTCCTTTAAAAGTAAAATAACTTTTTCTATCATGAAATAATCCTATGAAACATAAATATATCTCCACATGATCACCAACTTACCATCGCTGTTCAGTGAGCGTATATCATGTGAGCCTTTCCTCAGGGATTTGATGGAGCCCCGAGGATGAAAGTGGTCTACCGTAGAGAACTCTAGTCGGTCCAGTGCGTGAGTGTCACTCATGTAGATATAATACTCATTTTTCCTGAAGAGAAAAAAAATGTCTCACATTGGAATATGCTAACTTGGGGCACCTATTTTAACTACCGGTACTGGTTTATCCCCCCCAACCTGTCACCTTGACATGACGACAACCAAAGTTTTAATGAAATGACCAAAGTAGAAGTTAAGTTACTATTGAGGCAGTGTTGTGTTGTGTTTAATTTGTTAATGACTACTGCAGCTGTGTCCTCTATTTAAACTACAGTACCTAAAATCTCACAATAATAACTAAACAGTTCATGATGGAGTTTTCCATAACATCTTAGCCAGAGTAAATTTCTGCACATACTAATGTTAAAGGATAGCAAAAAGAATCAAAATATTGGCCATATAATTCTGAGATTTGTCTTCATTACCTTGCAAGACATGGAGTTCAGATTGTGAATTACTGTAAAAGGAGCCACAACAGTGACCAGGGGAAAGACAACTGTGACAAGTTACCAGGGGGCATAGATCCTGTGGGGGGGGGGAGGGGATGCATCCCCCTCCATACTCAAGTAGAAATATTTCCTATATAATCTTTATAAAACCATTGCATTTCCAATTTCCCAAGCTTAGTTCAAACTTCACCCTTACTGAAGCATGTCTCTCTAGCTGAATTCGAGGGAAGTGCTCCGAGATTCTGAGTTTTCATTGGCTGGCTGATTCCACCACTTTGAAGGGACATCCAATGAGAATCCATAGATTAAAAAAAAATAAAAATAAAGCAGTTAGTTGTGTGCACAAGTTGCCCAGGAGAGGACGCCATTAGTTTTAACTACAAAAGTAATGAGTGGATGTTCACCCTGGTAATTAAGTATCATAATGATGATGTAAAAACAATGTAATATTTAGCTTATATTAAATAATGTGTTGATTGAGGGTTAAGGAAATTTATGGTTTTGTCCATTGTACCTTGGCTTACCAGGAGTATTTTTTGGTATTGTACAACATTTGTAAAAAATTGAATAAATGCCTTCTTATTTTTGTAAGCTATTTTTATAGTCTAATAAACATGCTTGAAGACATCTAGTTTTATAGTTACAGAATATATACTATACTTCATTTACAAATCTCGGCATAACCTAACCTGATGACACTAGAAGTTACAGAGTTTATACAAGACATCCCAACTGAGTGTCATAAGGCTTACAAGACAAACAAACTGGCAGACCAACAAAGGTTTCTAAACAGTACCAGACACAACAGACAGCAATAAGTTACCTGGTAAGAGGAGCAACAGGGATAACTTTTGAGGGCAGATGGACTGCGCCTCCAGATTTCCGTCGACAAGTGACCACCCCTTCCCATTCTCTTCCTCGTCTCATTTGCATATTAACAGCTTCTGAGATGTCGAGGTTCACCTAGAAGCAGTAAAACAGTCGTCAAATTAATGTATTCTTTTATATAGTAGCAAGAGATGAATAAAATGCTGACATAAAGCATATCGGTATGGAGGCAATTTTATCCATTCATCAAATTGCCAAACTCCACTCTTAACTCCCTCTGGTCATAAAAGTTAACCAACACAGACAGAAGGAATTGATGTACAGTACCCAGACCGTAGTAGTAGTGTGTGTGTGTTGTAAGTGTTTTAATCCCTTCAACTTTATAATTCACTGCATCATCACCCCTTCCACTATCTCTAATCATTAACAATAATACTCTTTACTTTTTTATTGGACTCAATCTCTGTGAGGTATACAGTAGGTAACTTACTCTAGGCTCTCCAGCTTTGTGGTCAATTGGCTGTCTGTGGTCCGTCCCCGCTCTTTGGTGCTCCAGTGATGTTTTAAAATCGACGGAGGATCTGTGGTCAAAGGCTCGTATATCTTGCTTGTGGCTGTCGGAAATGTGTAACTCCCACAAGTTGCGACCGGCCACGTCCTCTAAGGAATACCCTAAGATGTTTTCACACGCACGATTAACATACTGTTGAGAGAAGAGATAAATAAGGATTACTTAAAAACACACATCCAAACGTTTACGCTTTATGGCATTTCTCAAGAACTAAATATATATATAAAAAGCCCCATTTTAGGTTGAGGCAGTTAGTGATTCTCCCGACTCTGTTCCAACATAGCACATAAAGTATAGTTAACTACTAAAGCCTGTGTTTGCCTCTCCCATTGAACCACGAAGCCCCCAAAATCCAGACTCGTGAACCCGAAGCAGTAGAGTGATACATTATTCCATTATTGTCCATAAATGCTTCACATTCATAAGTCTGAATCTTGGGGTTATGATTCAGGGAAAGAGGTGAACACAGACTTGAGTAGCTGACCGTGCCAACACATCCCTAAAATGTACCATCTCAAAGACACATCAAACACGGTGCAAGAACCTCACCTGTATTCTGTGTTGGGTGTCAGTTATGTGCACTACTTCTTTACAACTGTCCAAGGCTGAGAACACTGCTTGCATAGCCCTCAACTGTGACTGGCTGGACAACTCTGAATACTCAATCTGGATCAAGTCATTGAGAACTCCACCAACAGTTGACACTTCTGTAACAATCTTTCGGGAGAATATGTCAGCATTAATCACTGTTCCCACACCTATAATACTATCTTTAAAATAACATTGGCATTAAATTTATCAACCTCGATTATTTATCAAACATTTAGAACAAAGTCACTAAGTAATCAGCTTTTTCTTAATTAATAAAGTAATGCTAAAGACAAATAGCAACCATACGAAGGACTGGGGCTCTACCTTACCCTATTATAGCCGTTCTTCAGCATTGGTCCCACGGTGGCATTCTCACGATCTGCAAAACTAACAGATATTGTTGAGAATCACACACACAGTACCTATATAAATCATTGTTACGGTGCAGTACCCTCCACTCAGGTGCATACATTTATATAGTACTATATGTATTCATACCCACTTGTAAACCCTACCTCAAAGAGCCTCAACAAGTGATGCCTAAGATCCAAACAATAAGCTCATGTGAGGTGCAGACAGAAATATGTCTGATGGCTTTGGGAGGTGAGTTTAATCCTCAGGTGAAATAAGCTAGGAAGGGAGGCTAATCTTCAACTGATCCAATTATATTTCCATAAAGATGAATATTGTACTGTACTAAATATTTTCAAATGCCGATAGGAAATGTAAAGCGTCAAAACATATTGTACTCTTCTACCTCACTGTCACGACACACACGAGTACTGTCATTTTATTGATTATAGTTCAACGAGGAGTGTGTTCAGTGCAGAGAGTTGTTGTATGTTGTTGACTGAAGTGTGTTTACATAATGGAGTTAGTTCAATACCAGATGTTATTTTTAACTACAGAATTTCTTTAATAATGTACAGTAGTTTAAATTAGATGTTGTTCATGATCAATCCACGTAGAACTGACTGTGTCTGAGCCGACCGGTGGATCGAGAACCTCCCAAATGTTCTGACTGGTTGACTATAATATTACCTGGTACAGTACTGGCATCATAACCATTTAAGTCATGTGACGCTGTATTCACTAAATATAATATACACAAGCATAGTAACTATTCTTCAAAGATTATAAACACAAAATTACAATCTTGTAAAACTATATACTGTACGGTTAACCTCTATTTAATGACTATATAGAGATGAAAGTCTGTTATATTGAGGGTCTGTTAAATGTGAAACCTCCATCTAACGAACCATATAGAGAGGAAAGTCCATTATATCGAGGTTCCAGTAGCTGTAAAACCCCCATCTAAAGGATTATACAGAGAGAGAAGTCCATTATATAGAGGTTGCACTGTATGATCTAACATATATATACTCACTAACAGATTATATGAACAAAGAAGAAAGACTCACTAAAAAAAAAAAAAAAACTTACTTTTTTTTTACAATACCAACAAGTACGGTGAACTGGCTGTGGTCCGCAGCGCGTATCGACCTACACACATTCTCCGCGCTCAGGTGCTTCGAAGATCTTGCGTCTATGATAATGAGGTCGTGAGTATGATCGAGGAAGGCCTTGATGGCGTCCTCCGTGTTGCGTTTGAGAACCACGTCGTACCCCTGCCTCTTGCACGCTGACCACCACGCCTCGCTCACATTGTCTTCCCGACCAAACACCAGAAGAACCTGTAGGAGTTATAACAGAAAATGGTAACACCCCAATCTGTCTACTCCTGTTAGGTTAGGTTAGGTTTCGTCAGGTTAGGTTTCGTCAGGTTAGGTTAGGTTAGGTTTGGTTAGGTAAGGTTTCGTTATGTTAGGTCAGGTCATCATTAACCGACAGTAGACATGCTGGTAATATGTTACATTTCCAGAGCAGACCTAACAGCAGTAGACCGAGTGAGGATCAACCAAGAACACATTGTTAAAACTGTATTTGTCTTCTGTACCATATAATAGGGGGAAATAAAAGCCCATTCATATTCTCATCAGTAATGTCCACTCCTGTAATTATCGAAGATTAATTAGCAAAGGTCAATGATGTATCAGCAAAGGTCAAAGATTTATTAGCAAAGGTCAAAGTCAAATGGCAAAGGTCAAAGATATGTATGATGAAAGGTCAAATGATGTATCAGCAAAGGTCAAAGATTTATTAGCAAAGGTCAAAGATTTATTAGGAAAGGTCAATGATGTATCAGCAAAGGTCAAAGATGTATTAGCAAAGGTCAATGATGTATTAGCAAAGGTCAAAGATGTACAGTATTAGCAAAGGTCAAAGATGTACAGTATTAGCAAAGGACAAAGATTTATTAGCAAAGTTCAAAGTTTTATTAGCAAAGGTCAATGATGTATCAGCAAATGTCAAAGATGTATTAGCAAAGGTCAAAGTTTTATTAGCAAAGGTCAAAGATTTGCAAAGGTCAAATATTTGCAAAGGTCAAAGATGTATTAGCAAAGGTCAAAGATTTATTAGCAAAGGTCAATGATGTATTAGGAAAGGTCAAAGATGTATTAGCAAAGGTCAAAGCTTTATTAGCAAAGGTCAAAGATTTATTAGCAAAGGTCAAAGTTTTATTAGCAAAGGTCAAAGATGTATTAGCAAATGTCAAAGATGTATTAGCAAATGTCAATGATGTACATGTATTAGCAAAGGTCAAATATTTGCAAAGGTCAAAGATGTATTAGCAAAGGTCAAAGATTTATCAGCAAAGGTCAAGTATTTGCAAAGGTCAAATATTTATTAGCAAAGGTCACATTATATACCTACTGTAGATAAGCTAAGTCCTCTCACCAGCCTCCCAGTTGGTAACATACTGACACCTCAAACTGTACAATGATATAATGATGAGAACGAGACAAAGATACTGAGAGAGAAAGAAAGAGAGAGAGGGGGTAGATAGTGAAAAAAAGAGAGAGAAAGTAGGAGAAAAAGAGTAAGTGAGAAAGTCAGACAAAAAGAGAAAGACAAAAAGGGAGAAAGTAAGATAAAAAGAGAAAGAGAGAGATTAAGAAAGAGAAAGCAACCTTTAAACACCACATCCAAAACGCAAAAAAGTGTAACAAAGGATAAATAAAGAAAACGATGAAATAAAACACAACAAACCCCTCGAGCTGTTCTTTCCCTCATTCATCTACACGACATCATTCTATATAGTGGAATGAAAGAACAACCAGCCCAGTAACAGAAGAATTCAAAGTAGTTGATTAAATAGTGAATTATAGAATGTTGTCAGTTATGTAGGCAGCACACCCTAGTACGTACATAGCTTCTCCATCATTTTTTTGTTATCTTTTATAGCTGTATAGTGGATCAGGGAACTCATGTACTGTACTACCTTGCAAAGCTTACAGACCAGTGCCTCATAGTCCCCAAGGCTATGCTCCACACAGCCAGTAAAACAACAACACTGAAGGATGGATTTCTCCCAACTCAACTGTACCCCTGATGCCCTGAGGTCTGTTATTGTACAGTACTGCCGTGTTTCTGTGTACTGTGGTGTTGTATGTACACTACCTGGTCCACGCTGGCCACAAACCAGACCCCTGGCTCAATCAACTCGGTTATAAATGAGGAACTGATCCTGAAATTGCATCTTATAACCAGCATTGTTCAGGCAGCTCAGGTTACTACTCCTCCCTAGGGATGTGAGCTGGGATATGCGAGGCAACTGAGCCTGGGACCTGTTTTCTAGCCTGGTTGGATCATGGTACACACACACACACAACTGTGGTGGCAACAGACGTGGCCTCTCCTCCTCAGGGGATTGGTTGGAATTTTGGGTTTTAAAGTTATTTCACACATACTGTAATGAATACACAGAAAATGAGAATAAATGTCAATAATATAATCACAACAACTAGAAACAAAGGGATGACGAAAGACAGATAACCACAGCAAGGAGACAGAAGGAGCCAATCACAGCATGCCTTAGACCCCTGGGGAGTCATATAACTAGCCAATCAGCACACTTCTATGCACCAGTTGTACCCCCAAGCAATGGCTGTGTATCTAAACCACAAAAAAGTCTCTGTGCACCATGATGCATTCAGACATGTTCTGGCAATCACTGAAGCAGACCAGATTTTGCTTTTACTTGATACAGTAACTGAGAATGAGAGAACATTTCAGGAGGGGAAAAAGTTATGGGAGATTTTCAGTTAAGAGATAAATGGTTAAGGGCACAACACTCAGGGAATGGTATGGCTTCTCAACACCTGACCTCCTCCCCATCTGTAATCATGCATCAGAGGAGACAAAAAAAAAAAACATATGTCATTACTAACACCATGAACATCTGCCAGACTCACTGTACTTGGCTACACCTGGACACAAACAACCATGTAACTCAATCTTCCACAGAACAGAGTGTTGTCCAGCCACTCAGGAAAATTTCCAAACCAAAAGACCAAATAATGAAACAATCCCACATCCTTAGACCTACCAACTATGAGATGAATTACAAAACAGATAAAGTACAGTAATATCTCTTCATTACAAAACTACATAAAGTACTATACCGCAATACTCTGTACTTAACAAATAAAAAGGCTGGATGGTGGATGTGTGTGTGAAGATGAAGGCTGGTTATGCTGTGTGTTAAGTCAGGTAATGTTGTCCAGGTGGGTGTTAAGCCACTAAGAGAGGTCAGTGGAGGTGACCTGGTAGAACAGTGTGTTGGTGGTGTAGATGGCTGGTGTTGGTGGTGTAGATGGCTGGTGTTGGTGGTGTAGATGGCTGGTGTTGGTGGTGTAGATGGCTGGTGTTGGTGGTGTAGATGGCTGGAAAGTGTTTGTGGTGTAGGATGGCTGGTGTTGGTGGTGTATATGGCTGGTGCTGGTGGTGTATATGGCTGGTGTTGGTGGTGTATATGGCTGGTGTTGCGTAGATGGCTGGTGTTGGTGGTGTAGGATACGGTGTTGGTGGTGTAGATGGCTGGTGTTGGTAGTGTAGATGGCTGGTGTGTTGGTGGTGTAGATGGCCGGTGTTATGGTGTATATGGCCGGTGTTGGTGGTGTAGATGGCTGGTGTTGGTAGATGGCTGGAAAGTGGTGTATATGGCTGGTGTTGGTGGTGCAGATGGCTGGTGTTGGTGGTGTAGATGGTGTTGGTGGTAGATGGCTGGTGTTGGTGGTGTAGATGCATGTGTTGGTGGTATATGGCTGGTGTTGGTGGTGTAGATGGGTCGGTGTTGGTGATAGTCGGTGTTGGCGGTGTAGATGGCCGGTGTTGTGTAGTAGATGGCTGGTGTTGGTGGTGTATTTACGGTGTTGGTGGTAGATGGCCGGTGTTGGTGGTGTAGATGGCTGGTGTTGGTGGTGTAGATGGTGCTGGTGTTGGTGGTGTATATGGCCGGTGTTGGTGGTGTAGGATGGCTGGTGTTGGTGGTAGATGGCTGGTGTTGGTGGTGTGTAAGGCTGGTGTTGGTGGTGTAGATGGCTGGTGTTGGTGGTGTAGATGGCTGGTGTTGGTGGTGTAGATGGCTGGCGTTGGTGGTGCAGATGGCTGGTGTTGGTGGTGTAGATGGCTGGTGTTGGTGGTGTAGATGGCTGGTGTTGGTAGTAGATGGCTGGTGCTGGTGGTGTAGGATGGCTGGTGTTGGTGGTGTAGACAGTTGGTGTTGGTGGTGTAGATGGCTGGTGTTGGTGGTGTAGATGGCTGGTGTTGGTGGTGTAGATGGCTGGTGTTGGTGGTGTAGATGGCTGGTGTTGGTGGTA